CAAATCCCTCTTCTGAGTCCTCACCCAGTTCCCTTTTCAGTAGACCACACTCTACGATTGGTTTCCATCTTAGATATGGCACATGGACATAGGGTACCAGCTTTTGGAAGAGCTCTATATACCAACCTAAGCAAGTGGACTTTGGAATCAAAACAATTGACTTTAACCAAAAAACCCCAAAAATCTGATTTAAAAATGGGCAGAGGACCTCAATGGAAAGAATACATGCTGATGGCCAATAGACATATAAAAAGATGCTCAACATCACTAATCATCAGGGAAATGCAAATCAAAAGCACAATGAGATATCACCTCACACCTGTCACAATGGCCAAAATCAAGAAGACAAGAAATAATAAGTGTTGATGAAGTACGTGAAGGAAAAGGAACTCTGGTACAGTGTTGGTGGGAATGTAATTGGTGTAGCCACTATGGAAAACAGTATGGAATTTCCTCAAAAAATTAAAAACAGAAATACCATATGATCCAATAATTCCACTACTGTGTATTTTCCCAAATAAAGTGAAAACACTAACTCAAAAAGGTATATGCACCCCTATGTTTACTGCAGCATTATTTATAATAGCCAAGATATAGAAGCAACCTAAGTGTTGATCTTGCCATTTGCAACAAGACAGATGGACCTAGAGAGTATTATGCTAAGAGAAACAAGTCAGACTGAGAAGGACAAATACCATATGATTTCACTCATATGTGGAATCTAAAAAAGCCAAACAAATGAGTAAATAAAAAGTAGAATCAGCCTTTAAATACAGAGAACAAACTGATGGTTGCCAGAGGGAAGGGGTATAGGGAGATGGGCCAAATCGGTGAAGGGGAGTGGGCTTTTAGGTGTAGAATGATTAAGTCATGGGAATAAAAGGTATAGCACAGGGAATATAGTTGATGGTATTGTAATAATGTTTTATGGTAACAGATGGTAGCTATAGTTGTGGTGAGCATAGCATAATGTATAGAGATGTTGAATCACTGTGTTGTACGCCTGAAACTTCTGTAACATTGTAATTCCACTATACTCAAATTTTAAGAAAAAGGAAAGAAAATCAAGCAAACAGGGCACCTGGGTGGCTCAGTCGGTTAAGCGTCCAACTTCGGCTCAGGTCATGATCTTGCAGTCAGTGAGTTCGAGTCCCGCGTTGGGCTCTGTGCTGACAGCTCAGAGTCTGGAGCCTGCTTCAGACTGTCTCCGTCTCTCTTTGCTCCTCCCCCACTCACACTCTGTCTCTCTCTGTCTCTCAAAGATGAATAAATGTTACAAAAAACAATTTTTAAGAAAATCAAGCAAACAAAAGCAATTGACTTTAATTCCCAGCTATGCCATAATTTGTCATATGGTTTGGGGAAAAGTACTTAACTTCTGAGCCTTAGTTTCCTCACCTATAAAATGGGACTCATTAAGGCCTAATTCTCAGGACTGTTGTGAAGATGATTACAAATAATATATGCAAAGCATCTTGCATGGTACCTAGTACCTGGTAGATATTCACTAAATGTTAGCTCCCTCTCTGTACTCCCTTCCCAAATAAGAACTTCACTGGGAAAAATAGTCTGTATAGTACTCTCTCTGTATGTGTGTATATATATATATGTATATATACCTACATCTATGTAAGTGAGCATATATATTATTAACTTCAAAAAGATCAAGCTATTTCTCTCACTTTTGGAGGAAAAAAATAGTACCTGTTAAATCTTAAATGTAGTTACAATAAAACATTTATAAGAGAGAATTTTCCATGGTGCCTGGGTGGTTCAGTCAGTTAAGCGTCTGACTCTTGATTTTGGCTCGGGTCATGATCTCCCAGTCGGGATCTCACAGTCCTGAGATTGAGCCCTGTGTGGAGCTGAGTGCAGAGCCTGCTTGGGATTCTATCTCTCCTTCTCTCTCTGCCCCTCCGCCACTCATGCGTGCTCTCTGTCTCTCTCTCTTTCTCTCTCAAATAAAAAAATAAAAATAAATAATTTTCCAAATCTTGACTTATGTCTTGCTTATCTGACAGGAAAAGTTAAAAAGCAATAATATCATGTGAAATGTTTCAGGTGGTTTTGTTGTTTCTGTAAAGAGCTGTGCTCCATAATGCCAAGAGCTTGATTCATTTGCGTAGAGAAATTTTTTCACTCACCTCGACATTGTTAAGATTTAATGGTTTAGTATGCTACTGACATCATTTCCCCATTCACTGGTTTGAGGCCCTTCTGTAACTCGTTCTGGAAAATAGCAAGTCCGCTGCTCATCCTCTTCCATGAAGTCAGAAACTCTAAAATCCAGGAGTTAAATATCACCCAGATTTGCTGCCTGCTGGTGTGGAAAGCAAGTCGCCTTTCAGATGTCTAAGGAGTTGGAAGATCTCAGTGTGCATATCATACTTAACCCACGGTGACGGGTGATTGGCAGCATAACAGCTGAGCGACAGCCATTTGGCTGGGAGTTCAAACCCCAACACGAAGAGCCATAGCAGGATCATGGCTTGATTTGCTGTGGCCGTGAAGTCTAAATCACCGAGCACAGAGGTGGAGGCAGAGGTGACAGCTGGTAGCCATTCTCATCAATAAAGTTGTGACGGTTGAGATGTACAAGCAACCAGAGCCTGCTAATTTCATAGACTTTGAGCCAAGTACTTAGTGTCAAAACCAGCTATGGTCAATGATACAAATGGCTCTGAAGGGTCCCTCGTCAGCAGCAGGGCTCTCCCCACCAGACTCTTTCTTCCTAGTGGGTGAGAAGTGATTGGATCCTGCTTTCCAGGAACAATCAGTTTGAGAAGACCTTATTTTTTTATTTTTAAGTTCTGGTGATTTTTTAAAAGTCATATTTATTGAGGTGTAATTTATATACAATAAAACACAAACAGTTTGATAAAATTGGATGAACACATACAGTCAGGTAACCCCCTCCACAATCAAGAAAAAGAAAATTATGAAAAAGCTTCCTCATGCCCTTTCTGTCACCATCCCTCCCACACCCTTAGCTCCTGGTGACCACCAATGGGTTTTCTGTCCCAATAATTACGCCTTTTCCAAAATGTCATAAAAACAGAGTAATATAGTACATAGACTTTTGTGTCTGGCTTCTTTCACTTAGCATAATGCTTTTACAGTTCATCCGTGTTGGTGCATTTAACACTAATTTGTGCCTTTTCATTGCTGAGCAGAACTCCAGAGTATAGATATACCACAATTTTGCCAATTACCAGCTAAATGATATTTGTTTCCAATTATTAGTGACAGTGAATAAAGCTGTTATAAACATCCAGACCTTTATCTTTTTAGGGAAGACTTACAGGAAAGTAAATAACTTTGATTTATGGGAAACAGGAGCTGTTTAAGCTAGAATGATCCTAGAGGTGGGAGTTATTTCCTTCTTGACTAACAAACGGTAACACTTGTTTTCCTAACATGTTATTTTTGCATAGCAATTTCCAGTTTATACAAGGCATTTTCATTCACCTTATTTTTGTAATTATCAGACTAACCCTGAAAAGTAGGTTGGGAATCTTACCCCATTTTACAGATGGTAGCTAAGAAACACTGCAGTCAAGACTGCCTCAGTCCTGATCTGGTATCCTTCCCCCAAACATTTTCTGAACAGGAACATCCTCTCTGTGCAGAACACTCTGCTAAATGCTTTTGGGGTGGTCACAAAAACAACATCAAAATTATTTTTTTTCCCAGTAAGAGGGGACAGTCTGATGCTCCACATCATATGTCAGCAGGAAAATGCAAATTAAAACAACAAAATACCATTATACACCTATTAGAATGGCCAAAATCTATAACACTGACAACATCAAATGCAGATGAGGATGTGGAACAACAGGTACCTCATTCGTTGCTGGTAGGAATACAAAATGGTACAGCTACTTTGGAAGACCGCGTGGTGGTTTCTTATAAAAGTAAACATACTCTTACCATATGATCCAGTAATCACACTTTTTGATATCCACCCAGAGGAGCTGAAAACTTACGTCCACACAAAAACCTGCACACAGATGTTGGAGGCAGCTTTATTCATAATTGCCAAAACTTGGAAGCCACCAGGATGTGCTTCAGTGGGTAAATGGATAAATAAACTGTAGTACATTCAGACAATGGAAATTATTCAGTGCTAAAAAGAAATGCGCTATCAAGCCACAAAAAGGCATGAAGGAAACTTAAATGCATATTACAAGGTGAAAGCCAGTATGAAAAGACTATGTACTGTATGATTCCAAATATATGACATTCCAATAAAACCAAATCTATGGAGACAGTAAAAAGATCAGTGGTTGCCAGGGATGTGGGAGGAGGTTAATAGGCAGAGCCCAGAGGATTTTTAGGACAGTGAAGATACCATATGACACCATAATGATGGATATATGTCATTTCTTGTCCAAACCCATATGATATACAACATCAAGAGCAAACCATAATGTAAACTATGGATTTGGGGTAATGAAGAAGTGTCAGTGTAGGTAACAAATGTACCACTCTGGTGGGAGGTGTTGAGAGTAGATGCATATGTGGGAGCAGGGAATATGGAGAAATCTCTGTGCCTTCCCCCCTCAGTTTTGCTGTAAGTCTAAAACTACTCTGAAAATGTTTTAAAAAGGAGGTGGGAGAAACAGTCTCAGATGGAACCAGGACGGACACATCTGCCCCAGGCTTAAGAGGAGTACTAAGCCAGAGCCAACTAACACAACCACAAGAAACAATCTATGAAGCTTCCTCCAATCTTTTTTGTAAGCAGGCAGGGCATAAATTCTATGAAGTAAATCCCATTGAAGGCTGCTGGGAGTCAGAGAACATAGTGACAGTCCCTGGATGCTTAAAGGCAAGGGGAATTCCCCAAACAGTGATGTTCCAGGGCAGACAAGAAACTCATCTCTAGGATGAGAGAAAACCTTCCTCCTTAGTTTCCAAGTTAGAGAAAGCAATTATGAGGCAAGACTTTTCTTTGAACTCAAAGTTTGACCGGGATAATGACTGGAATTAAGTACTAGACAATCAAAGTGGAAAATGATCTCGTAGGCCTGAAATTACCAGAATTGTTTTATGTGGAGACTAGGGTGTCTGATGTGGCTGTTAAAAGAAAAAAAAAAAAAAATCTGTCAATGAGATTCTCTTCTTTGAGAAAAGAATTTTACTTTCTCAGTGCTGCTTTTGGTGGCATTTGCCTGTCAGACCTCCCACAAACTGGCCTCTTTATGTTCTGATAAGATGGCTGCTGACCAGCTGTCACTCCAGCCAGAAATGACACAGGCTCCTTGTGCAATTGGCCAGCAGCAGTTAGGAGGGGAAGGTTGGGCTTTTGTGCCTCATCTGTATGCGCCTTCTCTGCCAGATACAGTAGGCACCGTTTGCCAGGTCCATTATGAGAGCAGGAAAGCTTACCCAGCCTAGATCCCCAACCAAGAAATCAACCTGGACAGTGCCCCTGCTAGAAAGTATGCCTCTGGGTCTGTCCTCTGGGTAGGCCATCAAATGCCTGTCTAGACCAGAGGCTCCTCCCATAGCAGCTGATCTGTGGGACCTTAGAGGCCCAGACATGTGAAAGAAATAACTTCCACTTCTAAAGGAAAAAATAAGAGTTAATGATTTTTGAATGTTTACATTAATGGGGCTGCACTGTGTAATATTTAGGAATCCAGACTTTAGGGCGAAACTGTTTGGGTTTGAGTCCTGGCTCTGCCACTTTCCAGCTGTGTGTGTGACTCTTAAGCAAGTCATTGAACCTGCCTGGGCCTCAGTTTCCTTACCTGTAAAATGGGAATAATAGTGGCCTCTACCTTTTAAAGTTACCATGAGGATTAGTGAGGGCCTTAGAACACTTCATGGCACATAATAAGCCATATATTTGTGTTTGTTAAATGAAAATAATGGAAATTTCCCTAACTCCTGTTCTTAATGAGCCTCCCCTGCCTCCCCAGCCAAATCAAGCTGAATACAGGTACCTGATTTTTTTCTCCTCATTTCTTTTTTCTTAACAGCTGTCAGCTTTTCCTCTTCATGTTAGTTTCCTAGGGCTAACGTAACAAATTACCCCAAACCTTGTAGCATAAAACAACAGAAATGTATTCTCTCACAGTTCAGGAGGCTGGAGGTCCAGAATCAGCAATGTTGGTTTCTCCTGGAGGCTCTGAGGGAAAATTCTTTCCATGCCTCTCTCGTAGCTTCTGATGCTTGGCAGTCTTTGGCTTAGACACCCATCGTGTAGCTTTCATTATCATATGCATTCTCCCTGTATCTGTATTTTCACATGGCCTTCTTAGAAGGGCACTAACCATTGGACTGATGACCCAGCTGAATCCAGTATGACCTCATCTTAAACCAGTTACATCAACAAAAACCTTATTTCCGAGTAAGGTCACATTCTGAGGTTGTAGATGGACAGGAATATTGAGAGGACTCTAGTCTACCCAGCTTACCTCCTTAAAGTTTCAGGGTGTTTGTTCATTGTTAATCTCTTTTTACTCTTACTCTCTGTATTAATTAGAATGTAAGCTCCATGAGAGTATGGACTATATCTCTTTAAGTGTAGTCTGAGGCAGCCAGCCTTGCTTAAAATGGGTTTACTGGACCACCTCAAGAGAATGGAGAGGCATGGTGTCATCAGGCTGGGTGTGGGAAGGTCACGCTTGAGGTAGGAGAGTCACTCAGAAGGAGAGAGACAGAGCAGATGGAAAAAAATTCCCCTTCGAGGAAATTAAAAAGGAGAAAAGTCAGAGATTCCAAATATTCTAATATGGTATATCTAGAAGTACTGCCAGCAAATTACAAATAGCCAGAGTCAGAGGAAGGTGGGGGATGAGAGAGAACAAGGTTTACATCACAGGTCAGAGAAAAAGGAGACGGCACAGAGTTTGTTGACTGCCTCAGGGCAGAGCCTAAAGAATATCTCCTCTGTGGGAAGGAGGGACTCTGCTGCCAGTGTGGTTTCTTCTAGAGCCAAGGGACCCAACTGGAAAGAACTAGCCATCTTCAGATACCTGAGGTAGTCTGAGATGGTGGAACATCTTCAAACCATCATGACCTTGAGGGTCATGGAGAATGGAAGAAGAGACGTGACAGCCAAGATAAACCCTTCAGTATTTTTCCACCCAAGGCATGAGCTGTTTTGGTAGAGAGGTATTTAGGTGTTTATCAACATGAGCCAAACTAACTGGACAATGAAAAGCTGCAATTGTGATAGTCCTCAACCAAGTGGAATGTGTAGTCTCTCTTTTCCATGATGGCATTATTGGTTGTCAAGCCAGGACGATTAAAGAACAGGGCTGTAAGATGAAAGGAAAGGACAGACTTGCCTGAGGGGTAGAGATGTGGAGGGAAGGAGGAGACCTTGTCCCTCCTTTTACTTCCCTGATGGTACACCTGAAAAGGAAATAGGAAAGCCACCTGGTTGTCAAACCAGCAGCCCTGGCCTGGTGCACTTAAGACTTCTATTTGTCACCCAGCTCCCTATTTGACTAATGCAATCAGTGAGACAGAGGTTACCTGAATTACCAATGTCACCAAGCTAGTAGGAAGTCCAACCAGAACAGTTATCAATTCTCCTATTTTCTACAACTATGCCCTTTCCAACCACACTGTATTAAATCTTAAAAATAAGTGCCAGATCTGTTGATGATATTTATCACCTTGGAGTCTCAAACTGTAAGACAAATGTGGGTTTCGCTAGCCACGTGATGTCACCCACTTTGGTAATTCATCCAGGTATGGGAGCATAACCTTGGTAAGTTACTCCTTTGTTTCATTCCACAGAGCACCCTTCAGGCCAATGCAGTGATCTGCAGCCTGCTGTTGCAGGGGACACCAAGGAAAGTGCCCACGTTCAAGACTGTAGTGAGCTTGGTGACCACACAGGTAGGATCATTAGAGGTTTGGGAAGGGTGTCCTATAGTTAGAGACGTTCCATAGCTGAAAATGATCGCCTGATATGGTGATCTGTTTTTCTATAGGTGACAGCTGATTAAGTGCAGGGACAGCTTTACAAAGGACCCCATAGGTGATTTCACGGAAGGGAAGGAGTAAAGGGAGATAAGCTCGGCTTCTCTGCAGCTGCTCCCTCTGCCCTCTGACCTGTTTACTGGGGAAACTGGTCTCGTTGTGGCTCTCCTTACTGATAGCCTCTCTTCAACTCCTCCTCTCGGAGTAGACCCTGACACATTTCTGTCTGACTCATGTTGGGACTTATGAAAGTTCAACTTCTTAAGATCTTTCTGTGATCCTGACATTGGTAAATAGACCTCAAACTAATCGAGAACATTTATGGTGGGAAGTAGCACCGTGGACAAGAACTTAAAACTCAAGGTCTAAGCCCTCCATCAGTTAACATCCTCGTAAAATGAGAGAATTAGACTAAATTAATGGTTTTTAAATATTGAAAAAATATTGGAATCTTCCCTTTTTGCAGTTTGAAGTTTCCTGGACTTCTGCTGCAAGAAGAAACTATGATTTTAAAAAATATGGCCCTTAATGCTAATGCCAGCATTTTCTAAAAAGTGAGGATGAGTTGCCCCGGATTTTCCAGTAGAGTTTGCAGTTACAGGGTATCAGCAAGGAGTTTCTGGGCACATCTGGCTCCTTTGGAATTGGCCATGCAGCCTATTTTTCAAGGAAGTACAGAACTGGGACTTCACCTTGGAGCAGGGAGGTTAGGGAGTAAGAGAGAAGGAGAAGAGGGAGAGCCCAGGGAGCAGCAGTGTTTCCTGAATTTGAGGAGACTTTGGGGTGGAGACAATGACACCCTTTTCATTTTCAAAAACAGGATGCCTAGCTCTTACTGACTCATGGTCTAGACCCTTTCTCCGCAGCAGAAGTCACAAATAGGAGGTCTTCTGGTGTAATCAGCACACAGATGTATTTTGTTTGGTCAGATACAGTGTTTGTTTGGTTTTTTTTTTTTTTTTAAACTTTGAACCCAAATGTCTTTAGGTGGGGCATATATTTTCTGCTTCACCACAAACCCTAACACCACCTCCCCCCCAACACCCTCTTGGCCTGACAGTGCACACATTCTTGTTACCTGAGTGACCCCAAAGGCATTTGACTTTGCACTGCCTGCTCTGGTGTTTTCAGCCATATCTTCTCCATTTTATTCCAAAATGGTCCAGTGGAGAATTGGCTTGATTTTCCTGGGAAATATGAATGGCTCATTAAGCTCAATCTGACTTTGGAAGGATTCGACTCCTTCAGAGAAGGAGTCCCAGCATTACTTTATTTCATTGAACCAGAACACTCAGGGATGCTTCTTTGAGGAAATGAGAATCCATATCTGGAGAAGCTTCTGTTGTCACTCCTGGACGTATTCAAGTCTGCAATTCAAGCTCTTCATCGTTCAGCCACGTCACTGGTGTCATTCCTTTTAAGTTGATCTATTTACTTAGACTGGACCACCCTATTTTACCTTTCTGTTTTTCTCCATATCTTCACTTTTCCAATCTCCTTGTGTAGCAATTAATTTGCCAAAGAGATGCAGATGATTCCAGCTGTCACCAGGACATAGTTAAAAATATTTGACAATACTGAGTTTTGCTTTGAACTCAATAGTTTGATGGTCTCCTTCTTATTTAAGTTTATCTCTTTACTCTGACTCAAATCCTTCTCCCTGCTCTCCAGGCAAAGCTGGAGGATGGAGAACAGACTTCATCTAAGCTTTATTAAGAATATTCTGTAAGTTTTCTGTTTGATTTTTATACTTCAAATAACTCTTAAAAATCAATATTTTGATGACTGAAGTGTAAATGAATAAGAAACATGGAATAAGTTTTCCCTTCAATTACATGAACAGAAATTCTATGGGTTTTTATTGTAAATCCAGGCAAAGTAACTAGGGGCATCTGCTAAGTTCCAGGTGAAGATGTGGAAGCTTCCTCTCTGGGGAAAAACATGGCACCTTCCTCTGGAGAGTCCCCAACCAAAAGGGGCTTGGTGATCTTTTCTTGCTTTGTTTTTTCCTCTCTGAATCTATTGAACTGCTGTTGCTCCTTTTTATTCTGAAGATCTCAGATGGGTGGAGACAACAACAATCTCAGCTTTCCACGTGGGTGATACCGGCTGGGCTTTGATCAGTGCATGGTAGCTCTTGGTCCAGCTGAATTGGGCCAGAGCACAAGGTTAAAGATTATTCCCATCAATGGTCCTTCTTAATAAGCAAACAGAGTTATCTGTGCCCTGAAGTGGGCTCCTCTTTCTTCTTTTTATGTCACTTCTTGCTTTTATGTTGCTTACCACGGTATTACAAGTAAGCGTAGGCCTAACAGTGTTTTGGAATCTCCAGGAAGGGGAAACCTGCCTGGTCCTCTACTGGGAGGAGTTGGTCAATCAAGAGATGGGAGGGAAGGCAGGGAAGGGAAGTTAATGAAATTCTAAAAAGCTGCAGATATTTTTCTTAATTTCTTTTTTGTCTTCTTTTTTGTTGTTTCCCTGTCTGGTCATGATGTTTTTTGTGTGATAATAAAAATGTAATAATATTCCATTTAAAATTTAAAAATTTTTGTCTTTATCCTTTGGTGTTTATAGCAATAATAATAACAACAACAGATGGTCTTATCTACCGTTGATAGCTCGAAGAATTACATTTCTTCTACACAAAACATATTTGTCTAAGGAACCAAACTAATAACATAGAATCAGAGCGTAGTCTTCCCAGAATAGACAATATAAAACAATTGATTTCTATATTTATTTTTCTGCACTGTATCTTTGTCATGCTATGTGTTCTATCATTATAATTTCAACTTTATACATTTTATGCATCTTCTGCAGTATGTCACAATTGCCAAATTTATAAATTATCCTCACTGTTTATATTTTGGTTTGGATGCTTTTAGATGATCTGAAATGAGGATACCAAATAGGTGCAGTCTCTCTTGATTAGTAGTGACTGTGTGAGACTGTAAATGCTCAGCCCTGACCACAGGTTAAATCATCCAGAGAGTTTCTTGAAATTGAAGCCAACCCCACCCCACCCTGGGTCAGTTTCAGAATCTGTAGGGGCTGGGCTCAGGCATACTTAAAATCTTCCCGGGGTGATTTGAATATACAACTAGGATTAAGAACCATTGATCTGGAGCAATGTCTGTCAAACTTCAGCACGGATCAGGATCACCTTGAGGGCTTGTTAAAAACACAGGTTGCCAGCCCCTCCCCCACTCCCTGGACATTCTGATTCAGTAGGTCTGGGGTGGTGCCCAAGAATTTGCATTTCTAACAAGTTTCTAAGCGATGTTGATGCTTCATGGGTTGTCCCTATCAAGTCGTGATCACGTGGCATCTGCACTTTGGGAAACACTGATGTAAAGCGTGTTAGGAAGGACCTTGAAGATAAATTAAGGTTTAGTGGAAAAGAGGGGCATGATTGATTAGTTACAGCTGAGCTGCCAGGGTCACTGAAAGGAGGAATTGTATTTGTTATCCCCACTCTTGAGAAACTTACTGGTAAACTGTCCTCATTCACAATGTAGAAATGGGTTACTCTAGGAATGATTCCCTGTTTACATTCAGTCCTACCCGCATTGTGACAATCCATTCCTTGACCTACCATCTGTGTCAGCAGGCCGCCCTGTCCTGCTGTCTAGGACCGGAAGCTGGCCTGCCGTCTTGCCCAGTGCCATTCTTGCTGCCACCATTGCAGTCTGCCTCACCTGGGGGCCACTGAGCTCCGTTACCTCTGTTGCCAGAGAAAGGTAGCTTGTTTTCCCAAAACCATGAATGATTTTACCCAACTTGCTGGCTGGGATCACAGAACAGGTCAGTTTTGATGACATGTCATAGACAAAGGCTGTGGAACAGCAGGAGGGGCAGGAGAGAGGTACTACGGAGTGTAGACATGTTCTAAAACCTAACCCTGCCTATTTCTGAGCTTGTCCATAGATCTCTAAGTACTTTGTTTGTCTTCTTGTTTGTTTTCTCTCAGTTCTAAGGGGCTCTATAGATCATAAAGTCATCCCACAAACAGAATTCAACAATGGCCATGAAGACACTTCAAGCAACCCTCCTGCTATCACTGAGAAAAATTGGTGAGTCTTATCCATAAGCATTCCCAATCTTAAACTCAGGTGCTCTGTTCCAATGGACACTGAAACAGAGCTATTTCTAACAGTGTTTTGGTGAGTTGGAGACAGTGGAGCCAAAAAGTGTTTTTTATCAGATTCTCCCAGGTCAGACGTCATTACTCTGTGGGCAAAAGTCTTTATTCTACAGCGCAACCTGAGCGCAGTCCCGCTATTTGGGTTCTCTTCATGGTAAAACAGGTAGTTGCCTGATGAACCTTAACAGATTCTCTCAACTGGGGACAGTTTTGCCTCTCTTCCCTACTTCCCC